GGACCGACGATTACGGCTCGCAAGACGACGCGGTGGGGCTCCTTCCTGCTGTGGCTGTTGCTCACGAGCACGGTGCACTTTGAAAGTGGGCAGGAATGTCGGAATTTCCGGATCCGCTCCTTTGACGCCGACGTGACTCACCCGTGCAGACCACATCAGGACACGGTCTCGACGCGCTCGGTACGACGCCTGCGACCCGTCTCGGGTCAGGTGGCACGACGCTCATCGCGCCTACCAGCGCTGCCATGCAGGCTGCCACGACGAGGTCGAGCACGCTTCTATACGCTCGCCGAGCCTTCCGTTCCATCCCATTAGGCAGCCTGGGAACGGTGGCGATCAGAGGCAAAGCCTACGAGGGGTGGTGGAACCACATGTCACGGCTACTGCCGGCTCGACCCCACGATAGCCTCCGAAGGCTGACTTTGCGGCACCATCATCGGACGATGTCGACGAGTTGGGTCGCTCTCGCGGTAGCCAGATGACCTCTCTTCCTAGGATCATCGGCCATGGCCGCAGGGAGCGCGGGGGAGGGCGCTGGAAGCAACACGGAGCTCCGTTGGAGACGTTTTCAAGATTAGCGTGTCAGAGCGGTGAACAATGGCACCGCTAGCCTGTGACGCGTCAGCCGTCACATAAGGAAGTTGACACCGGTGGGCGCGGCGCGCGCGGTGGGCGCGGCCACCCTGCCAAGGTTTGAAGTACAGCGAGTCTACAGAGGGTCCGACCCACTAACGTAACACTCACGCGTGACGACGGTTCGACTTATCAACGTGCTCGTGTGCTCTCTCGGATCTCGGCAGTTCGCCCGGGTTCAAGCGAGTTCACGCGAGATCACGCGAGATCACGCGAGATCACGCGAGACCACGCGAGATCACGCGAGACCACGCGAGATCACGCGAGATCACGCGAGATCACCCGAGATCACCCGAGACGACCCGAGATCACGCGAGATCACCCGATATCACCCGAGATCACGCGAGATCACCCGAGATCACCCGAGATCACCCGAGATCGCCCGAGCGGGCGGCGAGCGTTGAGCATGATCGCGGGCGTGCCCAGCATTGCGCGGGGGACTCCCGGGAGAGTTCTGCTCCTCTCTCCTTTAGGCGGTCGCGCAGCGGCGTCTGCTCAACGCACCCCCGTCTCTGTGTCATGCCGGCACCCCCGCTCTCCGCTAGGCGCCGCGCTACCCGACGCGAGGTGCTCTCGGCTGCTCTCGGCCGATCTCGGCCGATCGCGGGCAATCTCTCTCTCTCCCAGGCCGGCGTCGAGCTCATCGACGCCATGTGCCTCTTTCACGGCTGGCTGATGACCGCGTACCTGCGCGGCGAGCCCGGCTCCGCCAAGCAAGCGGCGCTGCTGCGCGTCGCCCTCGGCATGCCGCCGCAGAGGCCCGGCGGCGGCGGCGGCGGCGGCGGCGGCGGCGGCGGCGGCGGCGGCGGCGGCGGCGGCGGCGGCGGCGGTGAGCGCACGAGGGCGGACTTGGAGGCGATCTACAGCGGCGATTTGACGCCGTCCGCCGCGCTCACGTCGCTGTCGTATGGCTTGATGACGCGCCTGCCCTCGCTCGAGGTCCCCCCAGATCCCCCGAGATCCCCCGAGATCCCCCGAGATCCCCCGAGATGACCCGAGATGACCCGAGATGACCCGAGATGACCCGAGATGACCCGAGATGACCCGAGATGACCCGAGATCCCCCGGAGATGACCCGAGATCCCCCGAGATGACCCGAGATCGCCCTGCCGGACGAGGACGCGCCTCCCCTCGTTCTCGAGGTGAACGAGCGGATTGCGCTCGAGGCGCAGCTCTCCGTGCTTACCAGCGACATCGCCTCGTGCGAGAAGCTGCTGCGCACGCCCATCCCGCTCGGCTACACGCGCTACTCGGTCCGGTTCCTCTGGATCTGGCTGACTCTGCTCCCCTTTGCGCTGACCAACACCTTCGTCAACTTTGGGGTTGGCACGTGGTGGGAGGTGTCGCGCGCCTGTCGCCCAACCACCTCTCCTCGAAGGACCCCCCCCCA